CAATTTATATTTTTCCAAGCACACAACAGTTTAAAGCAAAGTTTAGTTTGAAAAGAATGTGCAGGAAGGATTGAAAAGCATGTTAACACGGTAATGTAGGCGACAGTTCATTATCTGACGCATGCAGATACACACCAGGAACCTGGAAACTTACTGAATTATTATTATTATTTTGATCGGTATCAGAGCAATATTTAATCTGGATTAAATATTGGTAACATAGTTAAAATAATCCCTCGATATTGAGTTAATTTTGCTACAAAGCAGGGCGGGAAATTTAACACATTCATTTGTTTTATTAATTAATGTAATACATTTTAATGTGTTAAAAATAATGAAACGACTAACTTTTTATTTTATGCATATTTAAGTCCCAAATGGGAAACTTTTGTATTTGCCGATTTATGTACACCTGGAAATCTGACGCACAAGCAGTATCATCAAGTAGAAATGAACCGATCCAGTTTTTCCCCTGATCCAACCCGATATCTGGTCTGAGCGTATCGGTGCATAGAGCACAGCTCTATTATCATAGTTCTGTTGACAGTATTAGAAATAGAGCTTTAACTTAACTGTTAAGTGAACTATTGTATGACTTAGTGATCTATATTGTTCATATTCAATCGAAGGAATTGTGCTATAAAGTTCCTTTACTGTTCAAAATTTTAAAGGACAAATTTTTGAAAGCAGTTAGATAAATTATCAGGGGTTTCAAAAAAAATAAAAAAAAAGCTAAATGATTCTAATTTTCAGCCAATATGGTGGTTGAATAACCTAAATTATGGATTAATAAAATAGATATATACGTGTGTTTCTTTGAACATGTTTATTTATTCAACAGATTAGGAGTAAACAGGGTTTTTTTTTTATAGAAAATGTTTTTTGTTATAGTTTTTGATTAAATATGGGTAATTAAAGGGACAAGGGTCAGCACCGCCCTCCTTGGACATCTTGTACAAAACATTATCTCACAGTGCTATAACACATGCCAACTACTGTGTAGCTCCGCATATCCATCTGGAAACCTTCCGTAGAAGTAATTTTGGGAAGGGGCGAAAATACTGGTTAGCTGATTGGCCTATGTTGGTGATAGACGGGCCAAATAAACCAATC